GCACAGTGCAGTGCTGTCCAGCCATCCTGTGCCAACAAAAAACAAGCAGACAAACCCAAAAGCACAAAACCGCTCAGATGAACAGCTTCAAAGCCATGATCACACAACAAAGCCCATACAAAGCAACATACGTACCAGAATATCACGGTTCAAAGTCGCGGCGGCATCTCGAATACGTCGTGGATCCCAACTGCTCAACAGCTGCAGCGCCCTTTGTGGATCTGATGACAAGCACGCCCTCAACAGCTGCTCTCCATCATCACTCATGATAACGATGTCCCTCTATCAGCAACAACCTTCCCACCACAAAAGTCCCGAGAGGGCTCCTCTAAGTGTTTTGATCCGAAACCACAGCACGGGCAGGGCAGCGGGCTGAATGGCGAGCGTTGCGCACTGTGGGTAACAAGGATATGTTCATGACTGACCGTAGCTTGTGCTTCGTGTGGAGAAACAAACGGAGAGCTGCTTTCTTCAAACGCATTGTCGATGGTCGGTGCAGAAAGTGAGTGAGATCTCACGTCGTGTCGCAGCGCCGCCGTGTGGCTCACCTTGCACAGTGTAGCGTTACAAGTGTTCAGGTAGCACAACTCGAGTCATTCAAGCTATTAAATATGTTTTTTTTTTTTTTTCCTTGGCACCTTCACTGACTGTTAGCGTCAAATCCGTGTTCCACGCCGGACGCCCCGGAGCCTGACACTGACTGAACAGCAATGGTCGAGTAAACCGGCACCAAAAGGAGTTGTTGTTAGAGAAGCAAGCCTGCCCCCAAAGAAGGGAAAGAGAAATGCCCGAGTGCGCTTATAGAAAAGGCCTTGAGCACCCAAGAGGCACTCACATCCAAACGTCTACTTGTTAGCGTCAAATTCGTGCTTCCACGCATTTGAGCACAGACGTGCTGAAGCCTGACACTACTACTGCAGCAGCTTGCACTCACAAATGCTTTCTATACGACGCTTTGAACGTAATAAAACAGAAATGCCAGAGTGTGCGCTTATAGAAAAAGCCTGTAGCACCCAAAGGGCACTCACATCCAAACGTCTACTACTACTGCAGCAGCTTGCACTAACATGTAAATGCTTTTTACGACGCTTTGAACGTAATAAAACAGAAATGGCAGAGTGTGCGCTTAGAGAAAGCCTTTAGCACCCAAAGGGCACTCACATCCAAACGTTAACTACTACTGCAGCAGCTTGCACTAACATGTAAATGCTTTTTACGACGCTTTGAACGTAATAAAACAGAAATGGCAGAGTGTGCGCTTATAGAAAAAGCCTGTAGCACCCAAGAGGCTCTCACATCCAAACGTCTACTACTACTGCAGCAGCTTGCACTAAATGCTTTTTACGACGCTTTGAACGTAATAACACTACGTCAGTCAAACGAGGGATGGAATGAGGTAATGAGGCAGTGGCTCTGTTGCCTTGTGCGAGATGCTTGTGACTACCGTCGTTTTTCCTGTTGCAAGACCTGCCTGCGGTGAGGATTGAGTGGTGCACCTGGTCTGGTCTGGTCTGGTCTTGTCTGGTTGGTGTGAAGGACCATAGTAGCACGGATTTGACGCTAACAGGAATGGGGAACAAAAAAAAAAAAAAATCAAGAAAAATCCAAGGGAAAAGACAGTTTAATTATCACTTGTGTTGCCCAAGCTCGGGCC